CGCTGTTCGCGCTTCGCGCGTATATCCAGGCTGCAGGCAACGAGTTGGATGAAAAGGCGACACGAGATGACGCTGTTCGCGCTTCGCGCGTATATCCAGGCTGCAGGCAACGAGTTGGATGAAAAGGCGACACGAGATGACGCTGTTCGCGCTTCGCGCGTATATCCAGGCTGCAGATCGTCGAGTTGGATGAAAAGGCGCCACGAGATGGCGCTGTTCGCGCTTCGCGCGTATATCCAGGCTGCAGATCAGCGAGTTGGATGAAAAGGCGCCACGAGATGGCGCTGTTCGCGCTTCGCGCGTATATCCAGGCTGCAGATCGTCGAGTTGGATGAAAAGGCGCCACGAGATGGCGCTGTTCGCGCTTCGCGCGTATATCCGGGCTGCAGATCGTCGAGTTGGCCAACTCGCAGTCGTCAGTGTAAACGCGCTGCACAGTTCATAGAACGGTTGATAGAGCGTTGGGAAGTTGGTCCAATTCGTCAATTCGCCAACACAAAGTTGGCAGTGTAAACTCAGCTTAATTAACGCAATACTTGCAATAATGTAATAACTGTAATAATGTAATAATTCTGGCCCCAGATAATTATTCAATGTTAGTCGATGGTCTATTTTATCCTTCGGTGTGATTAAACATTAACAAAATTATACAGACAGGTGATGAAGTAACAAAATAGTGACCGAAGCTAACTCCGCATTGTAAAAATGTTAGAATAATGTGTGCATGCTTTACCGATATTTAATTTACAATATTGTATGATTAAAGTTAGTATCATAATTTGCAAAACGCTACTGTTGCGTGCCTCCTCTAGAGAGTGGACACCATGTAACAACCACAATACGTGTGTCGGCATCGGGGGTTCCTATATAGGGCCCTTCCTAGCAGACGATCTTTCGCGCTTCGGGCAATTGGGCCGTTTAAATGGCTATAATAATTAAATTATAGTAATTACAAACAAATTATATTAAATAATAAATATTTATCTAATTTCTATAGTCAATAATGACACGCAAATTCCACTCAAGCACTACTCTATACATGCAGTGAAACCCAACGCACTTATCTGTGCACTGTAGGTTATAAGTGTTAGGCATAATCCATGATATGTAACAGTTTAAGACAACGATTGACGCTATCTGTGGAGTGTGCGCTGTTACCTATGTACCCACAAGATATAAGAAGCTAACTAGCAGAACGTTAAAGCCGATAAAACACAAAAAACTAATTTCTACCGAATTGTACAGTGAGCTATAATGCCGTATAGTATTACCCACCTGTAAATATTTGTACACACACACGCACACACACACACACACACACACACAGAAACATCTACTGCCATATTGACGTGGGAGGGAAAGAGATGGGTAATGCAAACTCGACTGACAACCGGACTCTTGGGCAATTTACACGACATAGACACAAACAAAAACAGTGCCATGAGTAGAGCACTCATGTATTTACTGCTCGTTCATTGTTACCTACATGCGATGCGATTTCATTGTCGGGCGAGTTTTAGTAACCCAAAAACGCACGTAAATGGGTAAGAAAGAATCCGCCCGATATAATCACGATGGTTAGAGAAAGGTTCACGAGTAGAGTCATTGTTAGGGTAAACGTAGTGTTAAGTAAAGGGCTATGGCTAGCGTTAAGCCTAGCGTTAAGTTTATGATTAGGGTAAGGGTGAAGAAAAGGGCTAAGGTTAGGGTGAGGGTTAGGATTAGCGATAGGGTTAGGCTCAAGCTTAGGTTTAGGGTTAGTTATAGGAGTTATACGTATGTACGTTAAGAAATGTTGATAAAATGCGCAGATATTCGTGCGCATGCGTGTGTTTCTATTGCAACGAACATATAGATGTAGTCCTCACACACTAGAAGTTTTTAGACATGCTTAGTAGTGAATTCGAATATCTGGATACATTTATTCGGGCGTTTCAACAACGTTCTCTAGAGTTAAATGAAAATGTTATATGAGCAGATAAAAGCAGGAACTGCTTAACTACCATCCTCGCGAAAATGTGAGAATGTGCCAGTCGTCGTATAGCGATACTACAATGGAATATAAGTTGATGTTTTTCTGGTTACATTGAAAACGCAGATACGAAATCTCGACGGAGTAGAAGAGATCGTAATGAGTAGATGCTTGCTGGAACGGCTGCTCTATATATATATATTCTTACAAATTGTCACGAATAATTCATAATAAAAGGCGTTGCAGTGTTTGATTTTCCCCTTACGCAAACGCACACGCACACGCACGCACGCACGCACGCACGCACGCACGCACGCACGCACGCACGCACACACATGCACGCACGCACACACGCACGCACACGCACAACACGCACAAACGCACAGAGGGAGAGACACACTCACTCACTCACGCACACGCGCGCACATACACGCACGCACGCACGCACGCACACACATGCATCAGGTGTTGATTGACATTGATTAGCTACTTACTGGAGATGTGCTGGTCATTTCGCAACAGTTCCCATACGAGGTGATCACCTGTGTTGGATTGATGGCAAGCACCTCGGTAGGTGACGGAATGGAGAAGGAAGTGCAGAAACCGCGACAGGCGTTCGTGGTGATGTTAAAATGCAGGCAGCCTGGGATAGCTATCGTCCTTGAATGACCTAGAAGCAGAAGTCATAACTCATTACTGTGTTATAGTAGTAACAGCAACATACACAGAGGCATAAACACACCCACGCGCGCGCGGACAAATAAATAGAGAGGGGGAGAGTGAGAGAAAGAGAGAGAGAGAGAGGAGAGGGAGCGGGAGCTAGGGGCGGAATAGAGATTCTGAGAAAAAGATAGAAAGAGGGAAAGGGTGCAATGAGTGTAAAAGAGAGATGAGAATAGAAAGAAAGAAAGAGAGAGAGAGAGAGAGAGAGAGACAGAAAGAAGGAAAGAAAGAAAGAGAGAGAATGAAAGTGAGAAAAGGCAAACGAGAGTGGGAAATGAAGGATATACTTATACATACATATTATATACTTACACATTATATTACATTTATAGAGTGATCCAATATGACGCGATAACGCGTAACCAATCATCTTTCTTGTATATATTTACGTTACGATTCTGGAATGCTGCGCAAGTAAAGCTAAATATTGCAAGTTTTACAGATTTAGAGTGATTTTAAGGTAGAAGGTTAAGTGATTTTAAATTATATCTGTTAAGAATGCACAGGAAAAACAAAGTTATTTCACGACAGAACTCGCTAATTCACCCTATTGTAAAAAACCCATTCTTGCATAGACTCGAATTGAAATGGTACGACAAATTAAAGGTGAGTCACTGAGTGTAATGTGGGATTGTGGCAGCCAAATTGGTTCAAGGATAGAGATGATGTCCATGACGGTGATTGGATGGGATGATATTTATTACTGGACATGCTCTCTATCCTTGAGCCGGTAAATTTAATAAGAAATGTACCCTAACATTCCTGACCCTAATGAGTAATGCGTTGATACATCTTGATAATGGGTCTGTGTTACGTGTACAGCTTATTTGGATTTGCCTAGCGTCCTTACATGATGTCATTTGACCCCACCAGTATTGCTCATAGGGTCTATGTCTTCCAGGGTACTGCCGGAACGTACCCTGGGTACGGTCCGGTATACCAGAACGTACCCTGGTAACTATCTGATATGGTTAGGGTTAGGGTTAGGGAGTAGGCGTAGGCGACTTCCTAGACTCGTTAGTGGAGTAGGCGAGGTACGGTCTGGCATATTAGATAGTACCAGCAGAGCATATAAATCACGTTGATTTATATGCTCTGGTACCAGGGTACGTTCCGGTATACCGGACCAATCTCAGGGTACGTTTCGGCAGTACCCTGGGGGACATAGACATTCTCAGCACCAGTATTAGTGTCAGTGATACAAAAAGTGTTTTTTTACAGTACCACTAATTAATGCGTCAAATCGTCACCACACCATAGACGGTATTTGGGGTTCTTGTATATATAAGATAGCCGAGTCGGTGTACAGTTAGTGTTGGGTGTGGGACAGGTTGACTGTTTGTACTTGTGTATTGTGTGCAGTGCATGAGTGGCACGGTAAAAATACACGTGCCGGGTGTCCTGGTCGAATGGGAATTCTTGACGATCGATTCACTCGCTGGCAAACTTTTATTGTGGTGGAATTTAATCGGGCCGGAGGTATTTTAAACGGGGCGCAACGATTGAAACAGGGGGGAGTTTTCCCAAACGGGGCGCGCGCGCCCCGTTTGCGCAACGTAGGGAGAACCCTGGGTAGAGCTAGTACGAGACGAGAAGATCCCAAAATTCATTGAATTGTCTTTACAGGCGTTTGTGGCCAAGTTGTCTACCTGATGTTTGTCTCTGTCTCTGACCACCTTCAGACTGTGAACGATTACTGTTTCCATTGCCTTTAGTGCGCTCATGTTCCTAATGTTCATACAATGAACCCAGCCGGGACCTGCATATTTCATTCACATTTTCATGCCCTACTGGCTACTGCACTTATAATTTATGAAATGTGGGGCTATGTGATTGACTGATTGGTCTGGAGACAGAAGCAAACATGTTAGTCAAGGAGAGTGTTATCACAGGGCTGGATATTTCTCTCTGTCTTCAATATATTCTCTCCCACAATGTAAGGTGAATAACCATCGCCAGACAGAAAGGTCTGCTCAGCTCAATGCTAGTTTGGGACCCCGGTATATATAGTTTGCATATGTGCTAAACTAGGATTAGGCCCAATGGCAATGGTCACGTCTAGATAGTGTGATAATTTAAGGCTCGAGGTTTGTGGTTAATTAGCAAATTCTCCATTGCTATTTGTCATCGTTGAACATTGCATAGAACTGGCCGCATTTTTTTTTACGTACAGCTTTCCAATGATTCCTGTTGCAGTCATAGCAGTGTGTGCCCATAGCTCTAGTAGTACTAGAGTACTAGTACGTAGTACTCTAGTCCTTGTTGCCACAGGCAAAAAAAGGCTAAAGCCTGTGGCAACAAGGGCTATATATAGTACTAGAGCTACAGGTGCCCCCTGCCATTGGTAAAACCTACTCCGACCTCGTCTCCATCATCGCTTCTGAATATTTGTAGATTGCCGTCATGGCGGTAACCGTGTTCCCGATTCGCGTGCTACTGGTCGCCATATTGTTGCTGCTTTGTTGGCCCTGCGCTTTCATTGCCGTTTGGGGTCGACGGGATGAGGACAAGTTAGAACCGTTAACTGGATGGAGAAGGTATTTATGAACTCAGCGCAAGTATAGCAGATTAATAATTGATTGATTGATCTATCCGTCTGAGCGTGATACACATGCCTCATCGAAATTGTTGCTCGGCTGATCACTTGATCAGTTTATACGTGTTTTTCACGACTTTAACTTGTAATCGTCGACATTTTACTTTTAGCACTTCGGTGATAAATAGAATTTTTAATAGATTATCTATCTGTCAATCACCTCAGTCGGATTGGTCAATTTCTGCCGTGTACGTTTATTTTGATTTCTAATGTACCTTGACATTTTGGAATAATGTCATCAGATTTCACTACATAATGTAAAATGATTGAAGTTCAAGATATATCTGAAATATTTACTGATGCGGCAGTATTGGCAGCCGAGCAGAAGTCTTTGTCAAGCTGTACGGATTTGTTGTTATGGTCCTGAAATGGTAGTAGCATTATGTAGAAGTTGATATATAATAGCAGTTATTAATACTGTTATCATGAATATATGTATACAATGTATCAATCTATTTATTGATGTGTGTATAGATACATTCAAGATACATTGTAGAGATGTGATGTGTTTATGATTTGTGAAGTTTATGGTGTTATATTTTGAATTGATCTCAGAATTTATGTTATTCTTTGTGGCTCTGCAGATGTATTCAGATCTATCTGCATATCATATGCCATAACATCAAGTGCCCACTAATATCGGAGCATGTACGTAACAGTGATAAAATCTGAAATTAATGAGTAATTGTTAATTATGACGAGAATATAGGAAACGTTGTTTTGCTTCGATGGGCAACGAGGTAGAGCCAAGCGATTCTTCTTACTTTCTTTAGGATTCTCTGTGAATTAATACTAGCGAAGTAGCTTATTGAAATTGCATTCGTAGAAGAATGTGCATGGCCTAAAACGGCGATGTGGTTTTTTACATTTCGGCATTGTACGCTCCGATATTAGTGGACTCGTAATACAATGCAAGGTCGACGATGAGAGTGTGTAATGAATCTGTGTTTATTTTTGATCAGCATGCCTAGGTACATAATAACAGGTCTGTCGCGAATGATTTTCTTTGCTGGTGGCTTCCACTATTACAATGTCAAGGGCCAACCTGCTACACCCAGAGAGGCTCCACTATTGGTACTTGCACCCCACACGTCATACTTTGACGCAATACCAATTTGTTACCTGCACCTAACGTCGGTTGTCGCGAAAGCGGAAGCAAGTGAAGTATTTTTTTTCAAAAGTACGTATACAATTATGTACACGCATGGTTTCGCTTTATGTGGCATGCACAAGGTTTAGCTGTGTGTAGGCATAGATTCGCTAGGGCATGGCCCCCAGACGCTCCGTGGCATGTCTTTTTATGAGAAAATCGACTGGAAAACTGATGAATTATTTCATAGTGACTTCTAGCGTAGCCCTGATTTGATGCATGTTTAGCATTATTGTAATTCGAAAGAAGGGTTGTTCTCTGCTCCGGCATTGTAGAATCGTAGAGTTGTAAAGTTGTTGTTCTCCGCTCCGGCATCGTAGAATCGTAGAGTTGTAAAGTTGTTGTTCTTTGCTCCGGCATCGTAGAATCGTAGAGTTGTAAAGTTGTTGATCTCCGCTCCGGCATCGTAGAATCGTAGAGTTGTAAATGGTAGCAGATTGTAGCAAAGAGTAAAGATGATGTAGTCGCAGAATTTGCTCTTGAAAACTGACTTTATAATAGTAAAACACAATACAAATATAGTACACTACGGCGACCTAGGCACCCAAGCCTAGGCCCCGTGTCTCGTGGACTGTCTATCTCCACTACATTGTCTCTCGTCTCTTCCTCTGGGTAATAACTTACTTATGATCTTTTGTCCGTGCCTATTTATACGTTTCCGAAAACCGCCCGGCGACATTTTCAATCTGACCGGTTTTTCGTCATTATCGGCCGGACCTTGGCTCGTACGTGTGGTGCGTCGCGTCACCCATCCCCGGCACAAGGTGATACCTGAGGCGCCCGTCCATTGTCGTCGCGCGGTATATGCGTAGCGTCTTATGTGCTAGGTGTGACGTGCCAAGCGTCGCATCCTGTCGCCACCGTTTGCTGAATACAATACTTGCATTTACTTGCAAAACCCGATTTTGAAACAAAATTACGTGGGCGTGAAACATTCCTCAGTTTACCTCGTTTCTCTGCTTACTCACAGTTATTTGCTGCTAAGGATCTGCACTTTAATTTCTTTCTGTTCTCCAATTCAGGGTAGACGAATGACTTTTTTTCTCGGACCTGTAAGGATGCAACAGCGAAGCAACATTGTCTTATGATTTTTTTGACCCACAGGTCCGTCCTAAAATCAGAATGCGGGCGCACAATCGTGTATCGCGGCACACGATAGCGCGATGTTCCAGAAGCCGTTTTAATTTTCTCGTTTGATTTTTTTCCCGCGTCCTTGTCATCTCTGAATCTCGTTTTTTTTTTTACGTTAGGAGTATGCGTCACCCGCTTATATTCCTTGGGCGTGCCTGTTTCTTTGTCATGGGTTTTCATTGGGTGTGCGTCCGCGGCAGTCGGTCGTCCTGCGAGGAAGCACCCTTGCTGGTTATAGGACCTCACAGCACATGCTTAGACGCTATAATCTGTTTTGTCTGCGGACTACCATCTAACGTGGCACGAGCCGAGGGTAATGCGACCCCGTTGTTCAGAAGTAGGTATTACACACTATCCTGCTATGCTTGCTTCTGAAGCAGATAACCACAACTAGCATGCCTGCACTGCGTGTAATTTCTAGGCCGTCCGATTTCCTTTGCTACACTATAGCAGGGTGCGAAATTAACCTTCGATTTGTAGTCATACGGACTTACTAGATTTTGTAGTCTGGTAGTCTGTGAGCAATTCTCGCAGCTCAGAATTTTGTGAATATGTATTAATGAAGGCATTCTTTTACGTAAATTTGGTTTAATTGATTTAAAATCAAGTTATAACAACTTGCAGCAATGAGAAATCATTTAAATTATCAGTTTATTTTGTTCATGTTAATCAAAACTGACAGTGCTAAGTTAAGTTGACTCGGACAGTAAAACTACCTGTCCACTGGACTAGTGGTTGCTGCAATCTACTCATCCCCCAGTAAAGCTGAGAGGGTCTATGTCCCCCCGGGGTACTGCCGGAACGTACCCTGGGTACGGTCCGGTATACCGGAACGTACCCTGGTACTATCTAATATGCCGAACCGTGGCGTACTCGTCTACTCCACTAAACGAGTTCTAGGGAGTCGCCTACGCCTACTCCCTAACGCCAAACCCGGAACGCCTAACCCTAATCCTAACCTAACCCTGACCTAATCCTAACCATATCAAATAGTGACGCAGGTCCGTTCCGGTACTACCGCGACCGTACCCAGGGTACGTTCCGACAGTACCCTGGGGGACATAGACCCTATGAGCCCCAGTAAATATAGTAGTTTCGGACCAACGGACTTCCCTTAATTTTGAACCCTGCTATATACTTGATACATATTACAATACCTAATACTTATATGTGTACTAGCAGATTTTCCAACGGTTTTTGCTTCTTACAACATGTGCTTCCTTGTGAAGTACATTTATATAATTATATTAACCATGAAATTTTTTTTTATATACAAGTTTGTCACATATAACAATATATCAGTTTGTAGATGATTAAACTTTTCTTGTATAGTCGCAGCACAGACGATTTAATGGTACGTTGGTATTTTACATACGCAGGCATATGAACGCATAATTGGTGATGCGCGTTCGCAGAGTGATATCAATATTAGGATTGTAGGAGTAAGATAACATATTCTTGAAATTCTTGATACCTTGAGAAGATGTGGACATTCTGCATTATTGTAGGTGTCATAGCAATCTAAATAAATATAGAATCTAATCTTAAAAAGCGTTCATCTGCGTGTGCGCGTGTGTGTGAATATATGACTTGGGCATCTGCAAAGTGCACATTTTTCTCATACTCCTTCCTACTATCTATCTCTCTGTCACTATTTCTCCTTTCTTTGTGTATGCAAACTATGCATTGCGTTTTTGTGCAAATGTGCATGCGTGCCTCTCTTGGTAGATACAATATTGTAACCTAACAAGAGTAGGGGGTAAGGGTTAGATATAATAATGTCACCTCTCTGTTGGGTTACATTATTATATCTACTCTCTTGGTTGCTCACGCTGCCGCCCTCTCTCTTTTTTGTCTGACGTTTGTATTCTCTGTAGCTCATTACGTTTATATAACTGCAAAATTATATTATATTATATTATATAATTATAATTTAATATTATTGGCGTAAATGAATGGGAAGAGTTCGGTTGGATAGTCGAACGTTGGACTTGCCCACTCAGTTAATTTCCCGAGATTCACATGAGGCCATGTCTACTGTAAATAGGGTAAAAAATAATCTAGGTCATGCATCTAAGTAATGCAAAAATCCATCGTGATTTAAACCTGGGTATATATAACCTGTGATTTCTACGACCATGAACGAGTTTCCTTGAGATGGTTTATAATGTTATATAACCTGTGATTTTTATGCGTTTAAATGACTTTAAATTAACATCACAATTTCACGACATAAAGTTTCCTTCATGTGGTTATGTATAATGTGTGTTCACAGATTAGGCCAACTGTTGCTCATAGGGTCGGAGGGTACCCTGGTACTGTTCGATATATTGGAACGTACCCTGGTAACTATCTGATATGGTTTAGGGTTAGGGTTAGGGTTAGGGTAGGGAGTAGGCGTAGGCGACTCCCTAGACTCGTTAGTGGAGTAGGCGAGGTACGGTCCGGCATATCTTCCGATATATCGAACCGTTCCAGGTACCCCTCTGCAGGGGCGGATTCAGACCGTATTTGCCGTATTGGGAAATACGGTCTAGATTTCAAAGTGCCCTTCAAAAAATACAAAAAATACAGAAAACAATTTGATGGAATTTGGCTATATTCTTTATTTGTCTTTTCTTTTTTCTTCTGATTCATTGACGGGACTTGAAGAAATCAAAATTTTACATGGTAACAAGACTAGCTTTGATATCTGAAAAAAGAGGGATAGTGCTTGAATCATATTCTGCATTAATTGCTGGTATGCAAAGCGCAGGCAAAATGAAGCAGAATAATAATTCCATATGGTTTTTAGCTATTGTTTCTTGACTAAATGTGTGCTCAAATGGTGCTTCATTTTTGTGCCAGGACCCTTGAAATTTTAAAATGTTATGGGGGAGGCCCCCAGACCCCCGCCATGTGCTTCGCGCCTAACGGCGTTACTGTGGGGTGGTGTGCTCTTTTTTGGGGGATGTGCCCTTAAAATCTGGAAAAATACTGTCTAGCCTCAGCTCTGGATCCGCCCCTGCTCCGATAGTACCCTGGGGGACATAGACCCTCTCAGTCCTACTGTTAACACACACACACACACAGACATCTTCTGAACACACAGATGTAGGATGTGCTACTTACTGTACTGGCCATATATACATACAAACACACATGTTTGTATGTATCTATGCTACTGGCACAATGTCAATTGCACCACACATTTACAGGAATCGCCTATATATATATATATATATATATATATATATATATATATATATATATATATACGTGATGCATCGTATAGTCATAGTCATACAGTAGGACACACCACTGTAGTGGCGCGCATAGACAATTTATCACTACGGTAAACTATAATCTATTATATATAGTAACGAATGCCTGCAGCCAGTCTTCACATTCACTCACGCTTCGGTGGCGTAATGTTGTCAGTGTACTCAATGATGCACACGCAGAAGAATAGCTTTTCATTGGTGGCTAAAAATAACTTCAAATGGTGGCTAAAGTCTTGGCTCAAATTTTAAAACATCCAGAGGGAGCGTCATTTAATGACAAACTGTATTGATGCATTTCCGTAATAACATTAAAATGTCTAATAATACGGTAATGCCTCTGATACTGTAATGACATTAAATTTTATAATAGGCCTTGCAGTAATGAAATTCTCTAGCAGCGCACTATAGCTGCTTTTCATAACACGCTGCTATAAAGGAATGCTTTAATGATGTGGTTTAATAACAGCGGTGTAGCAGTATTCTCATAGCTATAACACTACGCTCACTGATGTAACGATATAATCATGTAACGATATGTTCACTCACGTAATGATATGCTCACTGCTGTAATGATATAATTCTGTAACGATATGCTCACTGCCTGTAACGATATAATGCTGTAATGATATAACTAGTGTAACAATATGCTCACTAATG